ATCGAATGGGCAGCATGTAAAAATACAAAGACTGGGCACCGCCTTAGACAAGTGAAGTAAGAATCCCTGGACGGGGCCGGAGCCTGGGCCACAGGGCTTTCTCGAGCTAGCTGACGCTCAAAGAGGGGCAGGCGCGGACCACAGACGAGGGGCCAACCTGAGGTTGCTTTCCTTGTTGGATCAGTCTTGCTGCTGCTTGGCACAGTATCAGACTCAGTTCAGACCCTCTAAGCACTGGCGGACCCCTGGGGCTCCCCCAAAGCCAGCCTGACTCCCTGCTGGGCGCAACTCACCGCAGAGGCTGAAAAGCCAGACACAGACTTCTCCAGCCCCTCTTGCAGCTGAGAGTGGGCAAATGAGCCAGTTCTGGAAAAAGAGCCATCGAGGCAAAGTCTCAGAGTAGGAGAGAAGGGGGAAGAGATTTCCAGAAAAACACACTTTGCTTCCTAATTCAAGAGTCAGCCATACCCCTTCCTTTTATCAACAGTGCTGATACGATGCTGGAGCCGGGGCAGCCATCTTGTGGCCAAGAAAAACCAAGAGCTCAGTTTGAAGGAACCGAAATGCAGTGTGATTCAAACTATAGACTCAGCCTAGGCAGCCAGCTTCCAAACAATAGTAAGTGTCTACTGTCGGGTGGGTCTGGGGTTACTTGCCATTGAAAATATTCTAAACAGATGGAAGCTCAAGGCCTCATATAAAAATTTAATATCTAAACACTAGGTATCAATATAGACAAGAAACATAGATATCTTTCTTTAACAGACTGAAGATGGCTTTGGCTGCATCATGCATACCCAATTACAGTCCCAGAGTTCACAAACACCCTTTCTCCATTCCCTCTCTGACCTGATACTGCCAGCCGTGCAGTTCGTCCTATTTCATCTCTCGCATCACAGCAGCCTCCCTAAGAGTCTGTGTGTTTCCAGTCCTGACTTCTATAAAACCTCTACCCACAGCCGAAGTGCACCACATCGCCCACCGCGAGCAACCTCGGCAGGCTTGCACTGCCTCTGGTGCCGGCTTTCAAGGTCATCCGGCCATGCAGCGTTTCCCCAAACCCCGGCGGTCCTCGGGCTTCCTCTTCTAAGGCAGAGATAATAACTACTCCGTCTCACAAGGCTGTCACTGGGATCACGTTGTGAGACGGTGAGGGAAAAATGAAAATGCTTTGTAAGTTAAATTCTATACAAAGCTAAGGAATTGTTATTTCTAAAATAGTTACATTATTGATTCTTTCAGAAAAATAAGAAAAGCCTGCCTGAATATCCAGATTAGCATCTCTAAGTAATGCAGAGCACAAAGGGAATCGCTTCATTTTCTTTTTAAACTAGATGAACAGATGGACTGCTGTCACTGGGCTCTGCGGACTCGCCAGGCCCAAGACGGACTGTGCACGGGAGAGGAGTCAAGTCTGCAGGTTAGCTGGTCTGCAGCTTGTAAAAACTACCACAGAGGCACCAAGTAGTGGTGTCGCAGTATTAGCAGCTGGACTCACAGAGAAAAGATCCTGGGTTCGGGTCCTGGACCCTCCCTGAGCATGCTGGGTGCATGTGTGCCTAGGTCCCAGCCAGCTGAGCAGGGGTGGGTCATTGATGAAGACCCTACTGGGGATGCCTGCCTCTTTCTCATGGAAAAGTACACACAGACCCTCCCGCCTGGAGAAACCACATATCGCAGTGAGACTTAGAAAGACACTCT